TGACCTACTCAATTACCATTGTGGCTGCCAGTCCAATGAATCCTGTTTTATAATATATACATGCTATTGGTTCTGACCCTCTAGAAAATCCTCCCTGCTATATTTCAGACAAGATCACTGAAAATCCTGAGTATCTATATGGAAAAAATGACATTTTGAATTTCATGTTTAGCTTTGCATTTCTAATTTAATGCAAATTCATCAAGCCTTATTTTATGGTGAATAAACAATGAATTCTTAGCAAGTAGATTTTCTCCCTGTGAGGAGTCAATAGAAAGCCCTTATCAGCAGGGCGGTGATGGTTCATGCCTTTATCCTAACATTAGAGAGGCAGAGGCAGGTGGATCTCTGTGAGTTCGAGCCAGCCTGGATGATCTACAAGAGCTAGTCCCAGAACAGGCACTGAACCTACACAGAGAAACCATCTTTCAAAAAATAAAAAATAAAAAAAAACAAAAAAACAAAAGAAAGTCTTAATTTTTTTTTCTGCATGAAAGAAAACTTTCTTTGATGTTGGAAGAAGAATTTTTATTTTCTCTACATTTGAAGATATTTATTAGAAGGAAGGAAAAAGAATAGACTTTTATTGTACAACTTCAGAGAACACAATTAATGTAAAAAATAGCTGTCTTTAAATTTATTTATTTATTTATTTATTTATTTATTATTGGAGACAGGGCATGAATGCTGTCCAGAGTGTTTGTATAAGCCTAAGAACAACTTGCTTGAGTGGTTTCTCTCTTTCTTCCCTGCAAATTCTGGTGATCGAATCCCAGTTACTAGGCTTTGCAGCAGACATTCTACTGTGCAATCCTAATGGACTGCTCCATCCATCCCTAGACTGTAATGATGGATTTAGCTAAGCTTATGCTGAACCGGGAGTAAAAAGTAGTTTTCTGTATTTTCATTATTTGCTGGATTTCATTATTGTTCTTTTAAATATCCCTTAAAAACCAAAATCCCCCATCTCTCCTTAATTGCTAATCATCATCCATGAAGTTTAATATCTCCATTAGCATCATAGGCAATGAGTATTATCTAAACGTGGAGGATGATAGGATTTTGATTGACAGGTGAGTTGTAGTATACAGTTTCAAAAGTCCCTGGTATCACACTTACATACTACAACCTAGTCTTGAAATAATAACATATTATTTTGCTGTATTTAATGTGACCACCCCAAAGGTCACTATCATTTTAAAGGTACTGTTTAAAAATGAGAATGACTGAATCAACAAAATGCATAAATATCTGTAGACAGAAAAGTAATATTGATATTAGATCTTTGGGTACATATGGTAGAAAAAATAGTAATGATGTTTTCTTATCAGTCATCAGATGATGTATTTATTAATTACATCCAATCTTCTGCTAACTTTTATAGTTATATTTAGAATTATGTACAATATAGTGTTATTGTATACATAAAGTTGTCCATGTCTGAAAGTGAATTTAGAAAAAGGCATGGCAGACAGGTCATGGAAATTCTATTAATCGTGTTAATGAAGCTGGACCTCATCTTATGAATGGCTGGAGAAAATAGAAGTTAAATAAAGTGTTTTTTTCATTGCTGTGGCTTTGATGATTTACTATGACTTTAGTGAGTTTTAATACAAACATTGACATTTAAGTCATTTGATCATGACAGTAGGTCTGATAAAAGACAATGAAGATTGAAATGTGTTGACAGTATGTTTATTAACATAAACAGAAAATTTTGTAGACTGCAAACATTAAGATTGTTTAACTAATCAAGTAGTAAAAATAAGAAAACTCAAAATTGTTTCCAGATTCCTAGTAAGGTATAGAGTGTTTAATGAAAGCAAGTGAGGGAGGAAAAGTTAGCCAGTTTGAGTAGAGGAGGGTTGAATCCGAAGTTGTTTAATTGAACAGTTGAGAACAGAAGCCTGAAATGAATCTTAAAATCCAAAATGAAGATACAATGCTAATATTTAGCATATAGGGCAGTATCTTCACATGGCTACATCATAAGTCAAGGAAAGAATATATGTTTCAGCTAATAGCAGAATCTCTGGGATACCAACAAACAGTGTGTATACAGTAAAAGTATGCAAAGACTTCATAAATAAAGTTCAAAGACTATGAAGAGAAACTGAAGACTAATTCACATGATAAACTCCTCACAAGACACGCATAGCAGAGATAAACTGAAAGTTCCTGCTGTGGACTTGAATTATTTAAGGACTAACAGGTTTCATTGCTTTAGCAAGGGACTCACCATCGGCATGAGCCACAGCAACAATGGCGTGCCTCTTTGAGACCTGGGACTCCTCCTGAGATATACTGATCCTCATATACATCCTGAAAAGCCTCATTGCCTTGTCTCCCTGTATTGCTTAGACCAAAGATGCTCTTATACATCCTTCTCCCATTGGAAAGATATCTGTTATTAAAGGCTTACTTCTGAGGTCACTGCAGGGCAAATCTTTTGATGTTTTCCAAGAAAGAATAAATTTTAAACTGCCATGTCACTTCTGAATTTATCTCCCTGTTAAACTTCAGACTAGAGCTATAGTTTTGCTGAAAACTTTCTTCAAGTAGCAAAAATAGAGTACATCTTTCCCAATATCTTGCCTTCTTAGGTCTAGAATTAACCCTCATCTTTTCTTTTAATTTATTCTTAGTATTGTATCCATAGGATTATGTTGAATAGAATTGAAAATTAATTGAAAATTGTGAATTTCAAAACAGATGGTATCAAATGAGGATTTAATATTATGTATCTTCAATTAAGTATTAAAACAAAATAATTCATGCAAGTGATAAATTAGAACATTATAGCTCACTTACTGAACTATAGTTGAATTATTCATAACTTTGAAAATTTTACAATGATCAAAAAATCAACAGTGTTCACTCTATCATATACAGTCCCAAACTCAAAATCAACTTGGAAAAAAATAACAGCCACTAATTAAATTTTCTTATACTATTTAATTATGAGATATAAGGTGTTAAATGCTGTGGATGCCATATACATGAGAGAATAATAAATGTACTACATTTTAGAGAAAAGGAATGTGTATAGTAATTAACAAATGATAAAATTCAGTTTTAAAGCTGTTTTGTAATTTTGTTAATAATGTGAGACCCTCCCTGAGTTTAATTATTGTTTCGAGACAAGGTTTCTCTGTTGTATTGGTGCCTGTCCTGGAACTAGCTCTTGTAGACCAAGCTGGCCTAGAACTCACAGAGATCCACCTGTCTCTGCCTCCTGAGTGCTGGGATTAAAGTGTGCGCCACCACTGCCCAGCTCTAAGTTTATTTGTAATGGCTTTAAAAGCTATGAATGATTGTGTTGATTTTTCATTTTCTACCAAACTGATATGTACCACCATACTTAAAACAAAAATTAAGACAGAAGATGAATTTCAAAGAAGTTGGCTTTAATATCTTATGTTTATTTATAAATAGATTGTTTTTTGTCATTTGACTCCAAAGACTTAGCCAGCAAGCTCATTCCAACAAAAATAGTGGCCCCATGCTATAAAATCATGACATTATTAGTTGTGGACTCTGATGAGTTCCATAACTGATTATACAGTTTTGATTTCATATCATGATTTACTCTGGCTTTTACATGGTTGAATTGTAAATTGTCAATATTTGTATTTATGCCCTAATACTCAAGGTAAAATACTTCAATTCATGTAAGAATCTGATACCAGTAGCTTAATATTTGTTTTTTTTTAAATCATCATCACATTCTTTTCTACAACCACTAATTACCCAAAGACAATATTATCTGCAATCCTATTATAGAAGAATAACATCTGCTGTTTTCTGGACACTGTTGGTGTCATTGTTAGCTACAGATATGAATATATCTTTCCTTCATCTTCCTTCTTGCTTTCTAATTTGCATTTGTTGACAACATGTGAAATCCTTGTATCCATGCCCTGATTAATGACTTTTTTTATTGTCTAAATCCTTAGCTTTTTCATAATACCATGATATCATTCATTCTGAAACAACTGCAATTACATCACACAGAATTAATAGGCGTGTCAATTTCAGAATATGATACCATATAAAGCTATGCTAATTTAGGATTCTCTCACTTATGGTAAAATTATATCAATTAAACACAATATTATCTCTTCCATAAAATGATATAAGCATGTTTATGTATATATTATATATATATCAATTTTTATATATTATGTATATCAATTAGTAACATGTATATATTATGTATATCGAATAGTAACATGTATATATTATGCATATCAATTAGTAATACATTCATGGGTGTGGAAAATTAATTTATGTTTACATATAATGTTAAAAAACATGCAAATAGGCGTCATGTATATTTTATTAGTTTTTTATAATTTTATGTATTTGTTCTTTTTGTACACTTAATATCATGTTAGTAGAATATGTATGTAAGGGTGTATGTGTAGATTTTTGCAAGTGTGAAAGTATAAAGAAGGTAAGTCTTATTAAATATTCCTATGAGATACTTTTAAAGACATTGTTAAAATTACTGATTTCTCTACAAACTTCCTATTTTGTTTCTCAAAGCTAAATGTCCTATGTTAGCATTTCATGGGATATATTTGTTAATTCTGTATTGTTTTCACATAAAATGAACATTTTTATGTGAGACTTCTTAGTCAAATTTTAATATATGTAATACCTGCTATTTTAAAGTAGCGTGGTGTACCCAAATATCCTATGGATGACTGAAATCATATTGGGTTTAAGCAATATATTTATAAATATTTTCAAAAACTGTATTTTGAATACAATTACAAACATTAATTTATATCTCTAGAGGATCAGGACTGAGTACACTAGAGAACTAAACATAAAACCTGGTTAGTGTAGATGCTACAAGCACCATGCAAAGTTGGTTTCTGTATCAGTGAAATAGCAGAATTGGCAGGCAAAGTTCCTCTCAACACACTACACAAACTAAGTTAAAAGCTTCAAGATCAATTATAGTCATATCAGGATTTTTCTGTTGTGCTTACCCTTTTTGGTTGAGGCATCTGCAATCTCTTCTTTGGATCGTTCAGCTTCTGCAAATTTAGTTATACCAAGAGTAAGCAATGGATATCAGAGTTTTCAGAATAATAACATATAGTCAGGCAAGAACACAGATAATCAAAACGTAAAATGCATATATTGCCTAGGAGAGAGAAAAGCAAGCTGCAGAGAAAGCTGAACTTCAAAACACTTTTATCACTTTTTGCTTTTTGATAAATTAACCCTATGTAAACTTCCTTTAGCGAGGTATAATTCTGTGATATCAAAATTGTATTATTATGTAAGTAGTGTTGATAAAAAGTAGATTATTCCACAAAAAGAGATATTAGATTATGTGTATATGGTCACAGTTTAGGTGATTTACGAATGTTAGGGAAGAACTTGTAAAGCCCTTCTTTGTTCACTCTTTAATTGTCTAGGTGGTGAAGGATATTTGACCTGAATAGCTGGTGGTGTAAGTATTATTAAGTATTAGTGGTAATATAAATGCTCAACTCAGTTGTTGCTGCAAGAAACAGTAACTATTTAAAAGACAAAACTTTTGCTCCACTGAAGTTATATGAATTATCTGGTAAGGAAAATGAGAAGGCCAAACCAAAGATATAAAATGAAATGTATTCCTAGAACATGGTTTTCCATTTCAAAACAAAGGCAGACAAAGTTTCTACAATTTTCTGGGCTGGGGGAAAGAAAATAAGATGAGATAACAAATCTTTGTAATGCTCCCCATCTCATTTTATCAACATTTCATTATTTGAGTTGTTCATTATTATCATATTTTTATACTTTTGATGTTATTAACATTTGTATATTACTATCACTTGTATTATCTAATGACAAAGATCTTAATATTAGTATTTATTATAAATTTTATATTTATAATTTGATTTTAAATTTATGGCTTAGACTTTTTTATAGGGTTTTAAAAGTCCCCATCCTAGAAGAACACTCCTATATATTTCTCCATATACTTTTGTAGTTTTAATTAAGTTTTCTCATCTGTGCTGCTGGCACTCCCTCTAAGAGTCAAAGGCCACCTAACACAAACTTAAATACCAGACATGAAAAGTCTCTTTTGAGTTATTAGTTAAAGTTATCTAAGATACAGCTCTTGGCCTTGGCTAATACAAGCGGTGGAAGGTAGATCTCTATTTCTGAAGACACTATGCACTTCAAGAACAGGATCCAGAGGCCCTTGAGCTAGAGCTGACTTGAATGTCCCCTCCATAAAGTCTAGTTTCTATGGTAACAGAAAATACATGCAAGCTTCCAAATAAGAGAAGTAATCAAGAGTCCCATCCACATGTGATACCTATGAATCACATCAATGATCAGCATGGCATGACATTCTTACAAGTGGAATAGTATCACACATACCTTGGCAGTAACCAATGGCTCTGTAATTGGTCTTAATATCCACTCAACCAAAGGAATACCATGCCTGGTATTTTAACTCTAGCTAACTATTCTATGAAATCGTGGTCACTGCGAGAGAATCTACAACCACTAATTTACTAAATCAGAATAAGACTATATACCTTATTTTTTAAAGAAATAGTCCAGGGCTATTAAAATAATTTATCCAATATCTTGGTATAAATGCCTCCAAACACATGTTCAATGATAAATGCCTAAATTCAAAATTCCCTTAATCTTTAACTTTGCATACTGTCTATTCTCAAATAATTCTAGAGTACATTAGTAGAGGAGTAAAGTTCTATAGAACAACCTCTGCTTGTTGGCTGAATATACAAAAAAATCAGAGGGTAAAAAAAATAGTTCATTGTTGATATTTCAAATAAATTTATATAAACAAATTTTCAATCTGTCTTGTCTAAGGTATATTTTTTGTTCATAGCACAATTGATCAGAGGATAGTTTTGGATAATATGAACTAGGTGTTCTAAGCCCTTGATTTACTCAATATGAAAAGAATCAACTAAAACAATGTTTACAAAGACCTTCAAAGCACTGGTGCTTGGTGTGACCATTCACAGTAAAATAGGGATGATGTCCAAATGTATTTTAGTAAGTAGTGGGAACATAATGTCCTTTTGAAATTTACCATGAATGGTAATGCATATGTTACATAATCAATTCTCTAAAATACCACCTGTTAACAATCATTGTCAGTCTCAGCACTATAATATCCAATGTTTAATGTAGTATATACATTCAAGAGGGTGGAGGAAGAAATGGGTGTTTGGAGGCATTTTTGGCTTGAATCCACATGTACAAAATAATTTATATTAACTTTCAGAAACTCTAAATATAGGTCTGTGGTGTGTGGAGGTCCTGTCTGTGTGCTGCTTTTTTTTTTTTTTTTTTGGTTAATGAATAAAGAAACTGTCTTGGCCTGTTGATAGGGCAGAACTTAGGTAGGTGGGGAAGACAGAACTGAATGCTGGGAGGAAGAAAGGTAGGGTCCGAAAGAGGTGCCATGAAGCTGCCACCACCAGATATAAACCTGCTGAAACTTTGCTGGTAGGCCACATGGTGATATACAGATTAATAGAAATAGGTTAAATTAAGATGTAAGAGTTAGCCAACAAGAGCTAATGGGCAATGCAGTGTTTTAATTAATACAGTTTCTGTGTGGCTATTTTGTTTCTGGGCAGCTGGAACAAACAAGCAGCCTCCTCCTTATAACAGGCCTGACAATTCTGTATTTCCCAAGACACTCTTTCTTCATCACCTTCACCTCACAGCATTGCAGGGACATTAAGATCCCCTTAATAGGATGTATCATTGAAACTTGGACAGTTTCTATCTTTTGTAATGATCATAGGACCCATGAAAGCCTCCGCTTCAAACTGATAAGTGTGTCTCCTACAGTGATATTACTTAATGTTCAGGAGCTGGGTAGATGAGTTTTCCCTATTAACTCAATTTAATTTGTAGCTATGAATCCAGGGATAAGGAAAATTAATTTTCCATGAACTTTTCTCCTGTTAATCTCACCTTTGGTTTTAAATTCAGTGTCATGATATGCAATCACATACATATCTGCTTTATGTTAATTTACCTATATATCTAATTGTCTTACATACTATTATGATTTAAAATAACACACCAGATACTCTGGTAATACCTATAAACTTCACAACACATTATATTGTCAAGTTAAAGACTTTTCAAAAATATCCGTAATTTATGCAACTTTCCTCTTAGCATTAAACTTATAGTCTACAGTAACCTTATAGTCTGCAGTAACTTAGTAAAATCTGTTATTTTATGATTTCAATACCTAAAAGGCCAATTTCAAGATAAATGTCTAATCATAATTATAATAGATGATTTTAAGAAACAAGGGCTTATGAATCATTTTAAATTAATTTAAAGTGAAGACTAATATTCAGTTAAATCCCACATGTCATAAGTGGTTGGGTACTAACTCTTTTTAAATTTTATATTGGCTTTAAATCATTTGGCAAGCTAGTTTACTAGTGTTCTGCAAAAGATGCTTAGCTCTTCAGAATGTGATTGGACAGTGCTGCACAAATGGACATAATTCCAGATTTTATTCTTGTGGATGAATATTTTTATCTGCATGTTACATTTCTTCATGAGAAATGTTAATTTTCTGAGTAATTTTCAATCTAAAGTTTTCTATGAGCAATGCAAAATTATCAGTTTCACTTTCTACATTTTCTTGATTATGCATTTCCATGGTTTAGCATACTAAACAATCTATAATACAAAGTTTCAGTTAGCCTTACATTCAGCTTTAAACTTACTGTTTTACATGAAAATATAAACAGAATTATAGGTCATAATAAAGTACTTTTTAATTTTTTTAAGATTGTATATGTGTGTGTGTGTTCGTGATTTTGAATGCCCATTGATATTATGAGAGGACATTGGATGATCTGGAACTGGAGTTATAGATAATTGTGAACCAATATGGGTGTTGGGAACTAATCTCAAGAACTCAAGTCTTCTGTAAGTGCACCATGTATTTTCCACTGTTGAATCATTTCTCTAACCCTAAGCTACTCTTTTTCAATATCTCTAACTTTTTAATGTCTTTGCGAACAAATGAAATTGCAATGTTCCATTTTTTAAAAGACATCAAACTACCAAATATTTCAATTATTCTGTGATATATCTGTCAATAATATACTGTTTTAAAAATAAAATATTAAATAAAATATAGGGCTTTTTATATGTCAGTACCAGGATCAATGTTTTTTCACCTTCAACTTAAAATAAAAATATAAATTCATTCTATAATGTATGCAGCATATATTCTATTATTAATCCTATAGATAAACCATTAGGAAGTTAGTATTTTGCCTAAAAGCAAATGCCTCATATTGCACTTAATATCAATTAATAACAGTATTGAAATAACTATTTCATCAAACTAAAATATAATAAGCAACAAACAAGCATTTCTCCTTAAGAATGTTTCAAGATCTGCCACTGATGCATCTGTCATACGTTTTCAGAATAATTTCCGAATATGAGGATATAAACATTAAGAAAAGTGAAACTCTACAAAAGAAATCTTAATAAAATTTTAGGAAGGCTACATTCCATTGAAATGTCAACTATCATGGTAGACAAAGTACATTGCTAAGAAGCTTGATCAAGGTATTAATAGTTAGGATCTTTAAATAGTTAATTAGGAAATGTGTAAAAAAATGGAACTGTTGTTAGCTCTATGGGATGCAAAACAGATGTGACAGAATACAGAATTATGGTCTAAATTACTGAAAACTCACAAACTGATGCTCACTGACAAATTTTCATTAGGACAAACACAAAGAAAGCCAGATGAGTTATCTTGCACATTATTTCACCATAACAATTAATCATATAGAAACATGGACAAGTGGGACACAAAAAGAAGTGTTAACAAGGTCTACAGAAGAAAATGCAGGTGAGTAATTTACATACTTGCTTTCCCAGGTTTTTCACTTGGAGCTGCAATAAGAAGAAAAAAAAATCAGTTTTCATTAACTAGTAGCTTTTTATTTATTTTAAATAACTTTGAGATACAGTTGTTTGGGAGATAGCAAGTATAACACTGAAAAAAATAGATCTGAGGAGAAAATGCAGCTTTGTAGTTTTCTTTGTGGTCCTCTAAAATGAATTTCAAAGTGCAAAAATTTGGGAAGCTGTAGAAAGTGAGTTCATACATCCTTCAGTATTTGCTCGTGCTGTATTTACTCTACTTTCAAAAATTATCAAACAGCCTGATTGCTTCCATGTTTAGACAAATATATGTTCCCAAATCTATAAGACTGTCCCAAAGAACATAAATTATTTTTTAAAAATATCCAGTAATTCTACTTTCTTTTAAAATTTATTTTATTTATTTTACATCTTAACCAGTTTCTCCTTCCTCCTCTCCTTCCATCTTCCCTCCTCTGAGCCCTCTCCCTCAATTCACTCCTCTTTCTGTTCAGAAAGTATCGAGGGCATCAACAAAGCATGACATATAAAGTTGCAGTAAGACTAAGTACCACCCCTTGTATTAAGGCTGGGCAAGACAATCCACTATGAGGAATAGGTTTCCAAGAGCCAGCCAAAGCATTAGGGACAACCCCTGCTACCATTGTTAGGAGTTCCTAAAGCAGAACAAGCTACACAACTTTCACATATATGTATAGAGCTAGGTTGGTCCCATGCAGGCTCCCTGGTTGTTGGTTCAGACTGTGAGTTCCTATGAACCCAGGTTAGTTGCTTCTGTGGGTTTTCTTGTGATGTCCTTGACACTTCTGGCTTCCTCACTTCAACAGGATTCCCTGAGCTCCACCTAATGTTTGTCTGGGGATCTCTGCATCTATTTCCATCAGTTACTGAATGAAAGCTCTCTGATGATGCTTGGGATAGTCACCAATCTGATCAATGAAGAGGGTCAGTTCAGGCATTGTTAGGAGTCTTAGCTAGAGTAATCTTTGTAAATTCATGGGAGTTTCCCACTTTCTTAAAAAAATGTTTAATTAACCAGGCATGGTGTTGTACACCTTTAGTCTGAGGACTGGGGGGATAAAGGCACGAGCATCTCTGTGAGTCTGAGGCCAGCCTTATATACATAGTGAGTTTTAGGACAGAAAGAATTACATAGAAAGGCCTTGTCTCTAAAATTAAAGCAAAATCAAATGAAAAGGCTTGAGTATTAGTAAGTTGGTGCATTGCACCCACACCATCAGATGTGCATACAGTGACGGCAAACAGACTATTGTAGTTAGTGATAATACAGAGGAATAATACTGATCCGTCAAAATTGCTCATATCAATTCTTGTGTATAATTCTGCATGTTTTCCATAATTTATGCTCTACCTTTGTCTACCGCATATATGTATAAATATGAGCATGTATTTGTTATTACTGTGGGAATGCACTCCTGAATAAATAGGCACCAATCTATAATGCAGACAAAGCATCACTTTTCTGAGTGGTATCAGTTTGACTGTTATTGTGAAATAATGAAACATGCTATTATTTCATCTCTTAAATTACGTGTCTGAAAATTATTCAGTTTTTATACTTTACAGCCAATTGTTACTCTATTTCATGTTCATCTCTTCAACTAATAAACTGTTATCAAGTGCCCATTGTGTATCTGGAAGTATAAAAGTCATTTTTGAGAATAAAAAGCTAAATCCCATCTGTATCCTCTGTCTTCTGATGTTTTAAAGCCCAGAAAAGAAAAGGGAATTAAATCAGCGTATTAAAATCTATGATAACCATAAGAAAAAAAAACTGCTATTGAAGTTGAAAAGATATCCAAGCAGACTTTGTTCATCTCAGGAGGTATTACAAAGTTGGCCAAAGAATAAGAAACGTAGGTTTGAATACTTATAGCAAGAGGTTATAGATATGCTAGGCTTTAGCTGTATTTTCTTGGCTAGTGACGTAATGTTAAATGAATGTTGTTTCCTTTTAAATACAATGGAATATGATAAGAGCAGCAGAGAGAATAATTAAGGAAATGTTCGCTTGCATACATGCACACCCTCTGCACATACAACATCTTCACACCTACACTCTCCAAAAGTCATCGCCTGCACAAACGTGCACACTCACATCTTGTATACACACATCTTCATATGTCCTGTACACATGTGTGTGCGAGCACACACACACGCACACACAGACCGTGTACAAAAGCCTCAGTTACATTCTTTGAATAGTAAAATAAAGTAAATAACTTTAAATGATAAAACGAAAACTACCAAGAAAAAGTTATAGGTAGCGTTTAAGGCAAGGTCAACTGAAAGTATTTAAGTATTTCAGAAATTATCAACTGGAATAATTTATTTGAACTGGTTAAATTTTAGAAAACCTTAAGAAAATGATTTTGTGTCCACATTATCTGTACTTTTAATTTCAGTTGTTTTATTTGTCTGGTTGACTGGTTTTAATTTTCTAATCTTAGGATGTTGCTATATTGAGAGAAACACTCCAGAGCAGTCCAAAATGTTGTTAATCAACACTATGAACAGGAGAGAACATTTTCAGGAGTTGAATATCTTGTGTTTCAAAAGTAAAACAATGTGAGGAGAGCATTCACAGAAATGTTTTATTCTTGCCTTCTCTTGTCTGCTTTAATCATAAGTGTATCTAGAAACCAGTGTTGGTAATTGTCGTTGCTGATCATCAGCTTCCTGGACTCGAGACCCACTGAGATGACAATTGTCTGGGCATGTGAGTGAGGGGTTATCTAAACCAGATGAGTTGAAGAGGGAAACCCACGGTAATCATAGGCACCCACGAGCTGTGGTCCTGGGCTAGACCCAGCGGTCATTATTCCCTCCATGCAGACTGTGAATATGATGTAACTTAGTGCATTGAGCTCTCCTACGTCCTGATGGACTATACCCTTGTACTCTGAGATAAATAAACCCTTCATCACAGGTTGCTTTTGCTGGGTGATTTTTCAAACAATAGTGTTTCTCAAATATTGCCCAAATGGATGAAAGGTGATCTTACTAAGATGTAGATTCTGACTTACTTGGTCTGAGGGGAGACTAGATATTCATACTAGCAACCTGTTGGAGGACCTGATACTGCTAGTTCATAGACACTAGTTTAGCAAAAAAGGAAGAACACAGCATTCAATTTACATCCTCTCAAACTGTACTGATATTGATTCTGTCAAGACCTTAGAAAACAGACAATGAGATGACAGATTTCCTGCCTTAATCTGGCATTGCCTTTATAATCCTGATTCAGGCTTGACATAGGTAAAATTGATTGAGCTACTCCAATCTCACTCACCTGGAGATTCCAATTTTGGTGACTTTGCTGTGTGAAACAAGAAAAGAAGGGGAAAATCACTAATCTGTGATAATCCATTAAATTTCAGTTTTCAAGTACCAAATAAATAATTTGAAAAAGCAGAAAAACATTAAAATAATTACCTGGTTCTGTGGGCTTTTCTTTCTTTTCCTGTTCTAAAACATATTACCATTGTTAATATTATTATACTTCTATATTTTCTAAATAAGATTAGTAATGTACACAAACATACATTGCTAATGTTAGACCACAGAAACTCATGAATGTCACAAAATGATTAATATCTCACCCTCAGTATAGCCCTTTATCCCTTGTTCATTGAGCATGTTCCCCTAGCATCGCACTGAAATATTCTAAATATTAAGGAATTATTTCTGAAGTATTACAAGAAAAATAATATAGATTTTTAAAGGATGCAAAACATTAAGCTTGCTCTTATTTTATATTAACATGAATTAAAGTTTGGATACAAAGTAAGCACCAAGTATAATTATAGTTTATTTAAAATAAATTATAGAAAGTTGAAACTGGGTCCATTTTATATGGACTGCCTCTGCCAAGTATTTTCTTAGCTATGTATTTAGTGACAATAAGAACTTTGATGCGAAAATTTAAGCACTAAGATAAAGGAAGAAGGCCAGTGGAAACAAACACACTTGCCTGGCTGTACAAAGCCTGTTACACTAGAATCCTCGTTAGGTGGTACTTCCTTCAGAGATGCCCACCCCCGTCACATTAGATGATGAAAAGGCATGATTCAAGCCTCAAGCTGACACTGACCTATTAATAAGGACTATTTTTCTGTTGCTTATGTTCCTATTCTAATTTAAAGATTCTCAAGTGATGATAACATATAGGCATGGTAAAGCAAAGCAAGGCAGAGATTTCATGAGATTTTACTTAGTGAATATAATCTGAAGATAGGGAGATATTTGCATTGAAAGAGTTCTATAAACCGAATTCTAGGATGAAAGCGTGCCAAATGGTTTTCTCTGACCAATGCATCAAACTCACCCTGTACAATTTTATTCTCCAAGCCTGAATTGATGTATGTGGTTTAGGAAACTTATTCTGCTCTGACACAGTAGCTAGCAGTAAAGTAAATAGAACAAGTGGTTTGACCAAGTGCTGAGAACACAAACAAAATTGAGTGGCATAGCTAAAAGAAAACATACTAAAGTCCAAATGACAGTTAACTGGGAGTGATGTTAATTTTTCATTTCTTTAAACATATGTTCATTTTTATTTTGTATTTAAGTGCTTTGTTAATATGTGTACATGCATACCGTGTGTTATATATGAAAAGGGGCCTTGGATCCCCTGGAACCAGAGGTACAGATAGTTGAAAGGCACCATATGGGTGATGGGAACCAGACCTTGGTCCTCTGAAAAAGCATTAAGTGTTCTTAATCAATAAGTCATCTTTCCAGGTCTTGGGTGTATGGTTTAACTAATAGTTGAATAATTAACTGAAATATTTAAAGATGTTTATATTAATAAAGTGATGACAACAAAGAATTACTGAAAGTGAATTTCAGCTTTTGTCAAACTCAAACACTGGCTATGTATGATATCCAAAGACGAAATAAAAAGCTTTTCCTCTCTTTATATATATAAAATCCTATTACATATATGTAATAGGATTTTATATAATGTCAATATATCGGATTTTATAAAATGTCCATATACTTCTTGTCCTGCTTTTCTCATCATGGGTTAATTTTAGCCTGTAAGTAAAAAAAAAATCTTCTAATTTATGAATAATTTGAAACTAAATATGAGATTATAAGTTATAATAGAGTACAGAAAACTTAAATACAAAAATATTAGATTGAACAAATTAAAAGATTCAATAATAGTAACAAAAATAAAGTCTACTCAATAAAGCAGAAACAATAGGTGAATTCGTAAGTGATTAATAATTGTTTTTAAGGATATAATTTCTCCTCCAAATTACTGCCAAACAACAATCTACAACCTTTCTTGCAAGGGAAGAAGTTGGATGATAAATGAATATCTGAGAAGAAATGTTTATTTATAAAATACATTAGTATCTTGAAGATTGCCAAGGAGATGCAATAAGTCTGGAAAAACTTTAAATCCCATAAACTGCAACAAAGTAAAGACTTTAAAGATATATATATATATATATATATATATATATATATATATATGTGTGTGTGTGTGTGTGTATACATTTTTAAAAGTGCAAACAATTGTTAATGACTTAAGAATTGGATCTCTAATAACTTTATTCCAATGAGTTTATAATTCTTGTATGATGATGAATATTAACATGGCTAAATATTTGTAAATAACAAGAAGAAAGGTAATAGAAAAGATCTGGAAAATGACAGCTACTGAGTGTTTTCTGAGAACAAAGCATTGACTAGATCACAATACTAAATATACCATATATGTGTGTACACATATATAATTTTTAATAAAAAAATATGCTCTTTATTGAGTCAATCAACAGGCATGCCAGGCTTAGTAGACTTTCTATGGGAGACCTTATTCTCTCTGAGGAATGAGCAGAGGTGGTGAGGGCAGTTAGGGAGGAGCAGGAGGAGGGGAAGGATGTAGGGGGAACTGTGGTTGGTACAAAAATGAACCACATTTTCAAATCTCTGACTGCCTCCATGTTCATGCAGGTGCAATGGTTTATGTTATGTTTTCTGAATTTTTGGACCAGATCTCATAGCAGCTATCTACACTCATCTATCCAGGCCTGAAGGACCATATATATTTCTCTACAGATAAATTGCTCTCTCTGGCAGGTTTGTGGCATAATTTCATGTTTCTTTCCACAGGACATGTCAGATCAGTTTTCATGACATAGTGTTTCAGTGTCCTAACTTTCAGTACAACCAAAACATGCATGATTTTCTAAGTTGATGTATATCTTCAAGCAGAATTTTAAATGTCAACGTAATCCTATCTCTATATTTCAGAAGTGTGTAACTTTAATGGCTGAGTTTATTGTCCCTTAGTTTATATTTGTTAAATATATCTTAGTTTTGCAAAACACAAACCTGGAGGCATATAGCTTTACTGAACTGTTGGCAAGCAATTTCAATAGTGTGTTGAATAATTGTGGAAGATCCTTAAGAAATGGATCCCTAGAATTTTATTGCAATGGCCTTACAATGCTGATAGTAGGTGGAATGTGAACAAGCCAAGGTATTTATAGATTACAAAAAGATAATATGGAAGAGTCTTGAAACCAGCACTCAGTGTTTTCTAAGATTGGAGACAGGAATAGATGACAACATTAAACTTACACAAATGTTATATTATGGGCATCAATGGAATGTGGTTATGGTAGGAAATTAAAGATTTGAATTAACTACCCACATGAGTTAGAATTATTGCTATAGTTTCTGTGCTATTATAACCTCCTTTTTACATATACTCCAGTATGCTGAAGACCAATAAATAATGTAAAGCCAGTAAAATAAACAAATCAAAATAAAAATAGAGTCCACATGCATTAAACACAGGAATTTGAAACATAAATATATCAGCACCAGCAGGGTGATCATATATAGCAGAGGCAACATATTTATACAGGCGTTGCATGCATTTCCTTACTTTTCCCCTTGGATTGTTCTGTAGAAAGAAAAAGAAGCAGGGAACAATTGCTCTTAAAAGATTTTGAGATATGTTTGCCACAAAACCATGGCTAGAGTGCCTCTCCCCAACCCCCCTCCCTATGACTTTTCCTTTTAAATTTCACAGGGAATCTTGCTTTGAGGTTTCACTAATTATCCCAGGTAGATCTATAAGTTGATTGACAGAAACAGAAGAGGTTTTGAATTATTCTGCTTAATGACCTGAATGTTTTATACCTGGTAGTCTTAATACACATACATAAACACCTTATACATACATAATTACGGAAGACAGAGGATGCATTTGCCAAATAGATCATGATTGTAGTCAAGACAAAGAATGTATACGTCAATTCCAAACAGATGACACTATGTCGAAATGATATTGAACTTACTAAATTTGTGTATTTGATATGTAACATTGTTAAGAGTCATAAAATAATCCTATCTTTGAAATAGTTCATGATAGGCAAATATGAACAATTATTGGTGTTTTGTGTTTACTAGAGCTTGAGCATGGAGTCTTATGCACGATAAACAAGTGTGCTGTCCCTGAGTTACAGTTCCAGATCTCTTATTTTTGTCACTGTTAAATACTTCTAGTGGCGATATTGTCAGAGAGCTCTCTTTGTCTTACTTGCTCCCTTGCTCTTTTCTCTTTATTCTCCTTCTTTCTCTTTTATATACAGAATTTTTTTCTAGACATGTCTTTTAGTGATAAAATGCTATTTACAGGCTCATCAAGTACCATGTACCAACCCCCCCGTTCACACACACCCAAAAAGAAAGCATTTCAAGTATTTCTTATACCTTCTGGAGTTTTTTTCAATTTCTTGGAATCTGAAAATGCAAAGATAAATTATTGATACTGTAGATATGATTAAACTAACAACTGACTGGTTAACAATAAAATTTCCATAACCTCAGAATTATTTTAAATTAGTCAATAGGATGACTACTTTTAAAATTATTTAAGAATAAATTGCCCTGCTTTCCAAAGAATGAACATTGTAAGTCGAGAGGTTCTTTCTGAAGCATAAAGCATAGACAAGTATATAAACCAAAATATCTACATCTAATTTTCATTGATACTTAGGTTGTGGTTAGAGTATTTATTAACTTTGTAATAGAAAGCCAGTGTTTCTAAATATGAATAAGGGTCCATAAAATTAGCTTTTAGTTTCTCATTTGTTCTATCTATAGTGGTCCATGTGAAATTTCTTGTACATTTTTCAATAGTCAACACATACCTAGCATGTATTCAATGATTTCTACTATTGTGGAAAATGAGTAGATTGATATTGCTTGTTAGTTACTTAACAAATTATTATTAGGCAGGAGAGAATAGGAAGAACTTCCAGAGAAAGAGAGAAACTTGCGGTTAAAATCTAGGTGCACAAGAGATGCCAGGGAGAACTGTATGTTAGAACATATAGTACAGAATAGAGAAACTGAGCCACAGGCAGAATGTAGATGAATCAAAACAGGTTAATTTAGTCAGGCAGTATTGCTGCATTCCTTCAATTCCAGCACTGGAGAGGCAGAGACAGGTGGATCTCTGTGAATTTGAAGCCACCCTCGCCTACAAAACAACAACACAAAAAGGTTAATTTAAGTTATAAGAGCTAATGGGACAAGCCTATGCTAATGGCCAAGCTTTCATAATCAATAAGCAGTCTAGCAGTCTCCGTTTTGTTATGTGAATCGGTGGTCCCAAAAGAAAGTCAAACAACTTTAGAAAAAAAACTCATAAAAATATAATACCCAATCATCATCATTACTTGACTAATATGTTGGAAAATGGCTGCTTATACATTGTTCTTATGACTTTTATATTTAAGAGTTTAGACATTACTTATTTATTCAGAGAATGCTTATTTGTTAGCACTGTATCAACAACATAGCATCATTAATTGGGTTGAGGATTCAGTTTAATACTAGAGTGTTTGCCTAGCAAGAGTAAGGCCCTGGGTTTAATCCTAATTTCTGAGAAAAAAAAAACAAGAATTAAGCCTTGCATGGATAAAAGTAAATTGGATATAGCCTTTTCTGTCAATAGGCTTAATCAATTTAAACAAAGGAAAAATAAATTTAAGCAGCAAGAGGACAAGAAACACATAGTGGTAGAGCAATGTCAGCAGACTTCAGTTTCATATTGTAGTTCAGTATTTTTTTTTTATGGCAGGGTTTCTCTGTAGCTTTTGAGCCTGTCCTACACTAGCTCTTGTAGACCAGGATGGCCTCAAACTCACAGAGATCTTCCTGCCTCTGCCTTCCAAGTGCTGTGATTAAAGGAGTGTGCCACCACTTCCCAGCTAGTTCAGTATTCTTAAGTGAGAGGATCAAACTTTTCACAAAAAGGAGGTATCACTGGAGCCTTAAAACAATTACATGTTCTGTTCATAGGAGGAAACAGAACAGTCAGCTCTGTTCAGATAGCAAAAATACCAGAGTCATGACATTATTATATATGCAATATTGAAAGCAACTTTGCCTAAAGTAATAAAGGAAGAGCAGGAGTTAGCATGTAGGGAGACACCCTCACCCTAGTACCCTAGTAGCCTTGTGCATAGCCACTAGCTATGCAAGCTAAAGTGCCAACTCCACTGACTTGAATCTTAATAGGATCCCTAGTAGTCCTATTAAAACATAGCCTTGTGGAAGGCTTGTGAGGAGCTGATGGGACTAATCCTCCCAAGACCCCTTCATCTCTCCCATGTGACTCTGAAGACATTTTCTCACCTCCACCTCAGTCTTCTGCCATGGATGCAAGGAAGCAAACATTAGTTCACAAAATTGTATCATAGGAAGAATTGGCTTCTGTGGAAGTGATTCTAACTTGTTTGTTGACATTAATATCTCATTTTGTTTTCATGTGGAAGAAGGACAACATGAGGCAGGCACCCTCAGCTAGTTTTAATATTTTAAATCTATGAAAGTAATATATTGTGTTAGTCCCAAAGGACTTCCCATGCCTGACCTCTGGAATTATTTGATCTGTGGTGTCGGGCTGCCAAGTTGTATGCCTGACAGCAATCATGGAAAGCAAGTGTGAAAGTGGACTTGAGAACTTTAATTTCAGTTTAAGATTGGAGGTTTCCATTCTCTAGTCACAGTGGAGTCATTCAGTATTTTAGACAGCTAATTATTTAAACGTTTTAATTAACACAGTTTAATATTGTAGAATGAATAACTAGTATGGGCAGGATATTTATTTATGTCACAGTCTCAAATATTTTCCCTTCAGGATTCCGTTCAATGGCTAACAACCACTAAGGACCACAAACGGCTTCTATTTATTTTAATTGGTGTTGATAGCTTGAAAAGTAAGCTGAGAACATTTCAAACATACTTATAAATTATTAGCAACAATAAATCTGTTACAAGGAACATTGATGTCACACTTTATGGCATATATAATTCTTTTGACAAAAAATATTGTGAGATGAATGACTATGCATTCTATGCTTCTGTGAATCTTGTTAACATCTGACTTAACGAGATGACAGTTGGATTGGTATATCTTCTTAGACATTTAATCTCTTTCAAAGTCAGACATCCTTCAGCTTCAGGAAAATTCAAGTAAACATTCACGTGAGGAGAAAGAAGAATACAAAATGCATTTAAAGTTTTAAACGCTGTTTATTTTTTTCCTGCTGGGGGAATATGGAAAAGGTCTCAGGGATTCTCTGAAGTCATTGAACACTATAAAATTGTCTGCTCTTTAGGGGTGATCACTCACTCTAGTTGACCTGAGAGCATATGAGATCACAGTGACATGCAAGCAGCAACGACATGGCTGAAGGCTGTACTTCATATTACAGTTTTCATTTCATTTTTTAGGAAGAATAAAGAAATGGAGAGGTCAATGAGCCTGAAGTATATGAAAGACTAAATGTCAGGGTCCAGTGGAAAATTTCAACTTAGCTCAGTAGAGTTTGGGAGTCTTATATTAAAAGTGTTTTGCTTTTTTTCAACAGTTGAATTTCTATGGGAAAAATTTCAAGCTACTCACATAGGGATTTGGAGAATTTCTCAAGAAAACTGATTTGAGGTATATTAGTAAGGCAAAAGCAAAACTAGAAAATGTCCTGGAGGCATAACAATGGGTCAGGGGCAATCATTCAGCGCAAATATATGAAACTATAATGTGAGTATTGCTTTATTGCTTCATATACCATGGCTTTTTAATATTTTTGTTCTATAGTTAATGAATTTCTGAATAAAAATCAATTTAGCATAATGAAATCACAAAAACACCAAAGTTTAATTTGTTTCCATGACTATCTCAAAAACAGTTATTAATATTACTCCTTTACCCCAATTAGAATATAAATTGATTTTACTACTGAAACACTAAAGCAGGAAAACAGGCAAGCAAACATTTCTGAGGTTTTCCACTGTATACAACTGTGCTGGGAACTTACAACCTCTTTGTTCTTATGACATCTCTGATGACTTTCCAAAGTGTTTAAGAAGGGAACACACATGGTATCATTTGGAAGAACAGTGCGGAAAGATTTACTGCGTTTATATAGAGAATTCATACATATTGAAATGGCAGAGGAAACACAGTGATATGTCCTAGTTGTCTATCATAATAGTGTGACTTCTTCCTAAAATAATAAGCAAGGCTTTGTTTTGTTTCCTTTTACATACATATTAACTCTTTGCTTTCTGTTTAATAGAAGCAAATTGTGAACTTCACCAGAATGTGATTACATAAAATCCTAATAAAATTAAGTATAAAATATAACCTTTTTTCCCTATCATTCTCTGATCAGATGAACACTAATGAGATTATAGATGTCATTCCCACATTACAAGTGTTTTCTTATATCTGCATGCTATTTTTGCAATAAAAATGAGCCTAGATTAATTAGCCATGGTGGAACATGTTGCAAATGTGTGAACATACACTAGAAACATCTCCCAAAAGAGGATGATGGGAACTAGATCAGTCTTTTCTCCTCCCATGCTTCATTAACCATAGCTAGACTTCATTATGTCTATAGACCTCTGCTGGCTTGTGCTCTCTCTCTCTCTCTCTCTTTCTCGATACTTTACTTTAGAATTATTGTCATTGTAAATATCTTCTCAACTTTTTTGACATATGAACCCCCCTAAACCATTTATATTGTAATCATTATTATTAAAAAAAAAAGTTAGCACTCTTGGAAGAGAAGTCTGAGTCTGGTATGTGGTCATCAGGAGAAACATGGCCTAATCATCCTGATCACCCATAGTTTAGTATCTTCCAGAATTGTTGTCTGATTCACCACAACACACACAATCTTCCAGTCTTTTTATTTTTGTGAAG